AAAATACCGCAAACAAGAATGACAACTCTCCAGTTTTGGAGTTATTGCTCTTTGTATTCACTATCATTAGTTTGCAAGGACCATACCTCTAAAGATATTTGAGATATAAACTTAAAACTTTATATTGAACATGTTTAATAGAAGTGAATAGCAGAGCATAAGGACCAGAAGTGTTCACTTAATGCTTCTTTGTTGTTTTTATTTTTTTTCATGGGGGTGTTATTTTTGTCATGATTTACTATGTCTAGGCTATAACTTTTCATTAATTTTCACGAGCATCATTACTTGGAATTTTTACACGTATGTAAGGGTTACTTCCCCTTTGAAATGTACTTCCACCTTATTGCGGGGAATTTGCTGTCTGTGATTCCTCTTGCATTATTGTTATTATTTTAACGTCATTCAAATATCCTGAAATCATTTTTCTATGACTTTACTCATAAATGTAATGCTCAAATGAAGATTTATCAATATTGTATGTTCTGAAAAGCATTATTTGTAAATATAGTACCGAATTTACATTTCATAAAGGGGGGTTATTAGAAATATATTTTCTATTAAGTGTAAGTTGAATCTTTCAAAAGGAAATGAATGCATTATGCATACATGTATATTTTAATGATTACATATAATTTGGACAAGCATTTGCAGTACGTATTTTACATATTCCTTTATATTTGAAAATTGTTTTAGTACCATAAATATTAATACATTTAATTTATAGACAATTTCAATTGGTAACAGCCTGAAATATAACTTACATGATCATTAATTACCAAAATATGGTAAAGACTGTGATAAAGAAATAAGTATGAACTATGTTTTCTTATTTTTTTATCTTTTTATTTAGGTAAAAATACGAACACATGATAACTTTCATACTTAAAATTGTCAAAGTTGTTAATAATTGTGACGCCGTAGTATGGCAGTACATTGACTTTTTAACCAGTTCATAAAAAATGATTTACATGTTGTTCTTTAATAAACTATTCAAATCAACCGATAGATATTGACTTCTTTATGTTCATAAACGTACCATTATGCTGTTTTAAAACCTAAGTCACAAGTTTAACAAACACGCAAACCATTGGGTTTTAAATTATTAACAAGATATTAAAGTCAGCAATTATTGAATAAATGCTGGCCTCTAATATGTGCACGAGTCCAACAGAATCTTAATCCGGTATGGTACTAAACAATGAAAAATAACTTCTTTGTAAAACACCACAATTTTTTAACATCTAAACGAAACTTTATTCTTGAGATCCAAACTGCTCAAAGTCTTATAGTCCCAGCTTGTTGTTTTGAATTATCACTTCGGATGCAACACAAGCCAAGTGCACCTTTTAGTATAGTGATCCTGTCAGTTGAAACTTTGCCATGGCACCTTGTTCCTGCCCAACGACATCATTCTACAGAATCAAAGAAGTGATCTCTGTAAAAAGAATGAAAAGTTAATGTTGCCAAACACAGTAGTTATTGACAAAATGGTGTTAAAATTGTGAGAATAATCCATAAAAGCTAACAAAGCAATGTGCTTTCAAAATGTATAAATTTGGGTCCGAGTGGGAGCATCTTTGAAATCGAGTCCGAGTGGGAGCATTTTCCATTTTCATAAAAAAACCTTTAAAAGACTGACTTTTGAATAGAAATATTTGAAACTAATAAAGAATAATTGGTAAACATGACTCGGTTTATGTTCCGATACGTTAAAAATAATTGTAAAGAAGGTTTTCAACCTTATTTCATATATGTTTCGGGAGAAGTCCGAGTGGGAGCATTCAGAGAAAAACACTTATCCCGTTTTCAGGCCTAAACCAGGCAATAAATCTATCAACTTTATTTACAATTATCTCAAGTACTAAAGCCATTCTTTGGTGCGCTACATGATTTTTTAATACTGTTACGTTTTCTTATAATAAAATTGTATTTTACCTTCGAGTCGACGAAAACATGGTCCAAGTGGGAGCATTTAGCAGGTGCGCGATGACGTAGTATCCTACCATTGATAAAGGCACATGAGTATAGAACCTTACTGCCCGTGGGTGTGCTTAGTCTAAACTGGATACAATGTAATATAGAGTTAAAGGTGACAATAAGTACGTTTTAATGTGCATTATTAAACATGGCAGATTATATGACCTATTAAATGTTATTGTCTTCGCTCACTGATGTTAAGTAAAGATGCAATAGTAAACTCAATGTATAGCTTTATAGCATTGCCTATAATGAGGCTGTTGCCATGGTATCCACTCTTGTTTTCAAATTGGTTGTCTCTTAATATCCGGATATAACGGATATAACAATACAAATTTCCCTGTCCCTCACTACAGTAGCCAGTAATACACCTCTGGAGCCTAGAGGCAATAATACAGCCCTGAAGCCAATATTACAATGCTAGAATACAGCCAATAATACAGCCCTGAAGCAAATGATACACCCCCTGTAGCAAATTATACACCCCCTGAAGCCAATGATATAACCCCTGGAGTCATTAATACACCCCTGGAGTCATTGATGCACCCCCTGGAGCCAATATTACAATGCTTGAACCAATAATACACCCCTGGAGCCAATGAAACACCCCCTGGAGCCAATGATACACCCTCTGGAGCCTATGATACACCCCTGGAAGTAATGATACACCCCCTGGAGCCTATGATACACCCCCTGGAGCCAATGATACACCCCCTGGAGCCAATGATACACCCCCTGGAGCCAGTAATACACCCCCTGGAGTCAAAAATACACCCCTGAAGCCAATAATACACCCCTGAAGCCAATGATACACCCCCTGGTGCCAATGATACACCCCCTTGAGCTAATGATACACCCCCTGGAGCCAATGATACACCCCCTTGAGCTAATGATACACCCCCTGGAGCCTATGATACACCCCTGGAGCCAATGATACACCCCCTGGAGCCAATGATACACCCCCTGGAGCCTATGATACACCCCTGGAGCCAATGATACACCCCCTGGTGCCAATGATACATCCCCCTGGAGCCAATGATACACCCCCTGGAGCCAATGATACACCCCCTTGAGCCAATGATACACCCCCTCGAGCCTATAATACACCCCTTGAGCCAATGATACACCCCTTGAGCCAATGATACAACCCCTGGAGCCAATAATACACCCCCTGGAGCCAATGATACAACCCTGGAGCCAATAATACACCCCTTGAGCCAATAATTCAGTCCTGGAACCAATAATACACCCCTGAAGCCAATAATACAGTCATGGAACTAATAATACACCCCTGAAGCCAATAATACAGTCATGGAACCAATAATACACCCCTGAAGCCAATAATACAGCCCTGACACTTGAGCTGACCCTGGAGCTATTAATATTCCCCTTGAGTTAGTGATTAATTATTCAATTTTTATAAGAGACAGCAATCATATGATTGTTACAAGTCATTTTGCTGTCTTTATTAAAATAATATTGATTATTAATATTGAGTGCTGAAAGACATTTTTATAAACCATAATAACTTCATAAATTGTCTGTTGTGCTTTGAGAGAAAAATAACAACAACAAAATTCTCAAATTTAGGTGTTAAAACATGAATTGTCTGAATTTTTAATATCATGATATTCATAGAAATGTATTTCTCAAAAATATTCATGTGTAGAACAAGCTCCATACAGTAAAGTCACCGGTCTCATATAGCACGAGTTAATAAAATTATATAATACAGCAAAGATTTCTATGTAACCTAATTTAGTCATCTTAAACTTGCATAGATGAAAAACAACAAACTGATTAAAATCAGCTCCCAATAAATGCTATGCATTAGGATCTGACAGGCACCAATAGTAGTTTACCTTCTAGTGACCTTTCATACAGCCAATCATCGAGGAGGTTCCACAATTTTGATAGGAATGGGGTATCTAATTTTAACCACTGGTAAACCAATACTGAGTAGGTAATTTTCATGTTAAGGGGATCAAACATGGCATTGTCCTTATAGCCGGCAGGTTAAAGCTGGCGAAATAATCTTGCCCATTAAAAAACTGGGTCTATTGTTTCCAGTTAATTTGTTTCAAATTGCTTCAAACAAATTCTTTTCTAATACAAAATAACCATTTGTATTACTTCCACGGACAACAATATTTTTATTCTTTGTCTTATTCCTATCTGTTACGGACAGTTAAATTGCATAGCTAAATATAGCTTCTTTGGGAAATCCAAATCACAATAAAGGTGGAACAAATACAGTGGCAATCAGATCTACATGAAAGAAATAACTTAAGTAGATCTGAACTAAAGTCAGATTGAGTAGGCCAATGTATGCACAGTACAGTAGTTTTATGAAAGTAGTCCTTTTGGAACTATTTCCTGATGCGAATGCTGACACATATGATCTTAGGTTTCCGGAAGGTTTCAGAATAGTCAGATAGAACATTAGGATATTGCTTTACAGATTCATTTAACAGACTACTGCTGGCAGCACATGATTCTACCTTTGCTACCAGTGCAGACCTTGCAATATCAGCTCAGCTGGCACATCATGGCCTGCACTGCTCACTATTCAATCAATGCTTATGTTGAAATTTTCCTAAATGTTGAATTTTTTTGTTAAACAAGTAATTTTAAGATATAATTATTATGGTAATGGTTGATTTAGTGTTTTTTATTGCATTTGCTTTTCATGTGTTTCATCTTTTTAACATGTTTTTTTTCAACTATATTTTATTTTTTTGTATGACTGTATTTTTTCTTGCATTATAGTTATAGCATGTATTTTTCATGTGTTTTACTATCTGGTATGTATTTTTCAATTGTTTTATTTTTTTAGCACTTTTTTTCAAGTGTTTTCTTTTTGGCAAGCATTTTTCGTATGTTTTCTTTTTTGGCATAATATTTTTGCATGTATGTGTTGTTTTTTCCATGCAGTTTTAATGTGTTTCATTTTTTGGGCATGTATTTTATCACATATTTTTTATTGTTATTTTATCACATATTTTTTATTGTGGCTATTTCAGTAGTGAGAAGAAAGAGCATGTGTTTACAGCAGAGAACCATGAATCTATGATGATCTGGTTGCTAGGGTTACAAGCTAAGAGAGACCTTCACTCACAGAAACCATTACCTACACAATCAACAACTGATGACAAATATATACATAGTCCTGTAAGTTGTTGTTGTTGTTGTAGCAGATCTAGTCATATTGCATGCTACATTATTAGCCTAAGACAAAAGTTTACATAGTTACTTAATTGCCTGTACAAAACACAAGTTATTTCATCACAGAAAACAGCATGCAACATCATGATATGAGAATTTGACCTTTAATAACAAGGTCATAAAGGTCATAGAAATATAGAAATATAGGTCATGATATGAGAATTTGACCTTAAATAACAAGGTCATCAAGGTCATAGAAATATAGGTCATGATATGAGAATGTGACCTGTAACAACAAGGTCATCAAGGTCATAGAAATGTTATCGGGTCACCTTTCCTATATTGTTAGGTCACCTTTCATATGTTGTCAGGCCACCTTTCCTATGTTGTCAGGTCACCTTTCCTATGTTGTCAGATCACCTTTCATATGTTGTCAGGCCACCTTTCATATGTTGTCAGGCCATCTTTCCTATGTTGTCAGGTCACCTTTCCTATGTTGTCAGATCACCTTTCATATGTTGTCAGGTCACCTCTCCTATTTTGTCAGGCCATCTATCCTATGTTGTCAGGGCACTTTTCCTATGTTGTCGGGTCACCTTTCATTTATTGTCCAGTCACCTTTCCTGGCTTTCCTATATTGTCAGGTAAAATTAGGTTTGATCAGAAAGCTGGAAATTCTGTTTTTTGTTAATTAGTTTTTTGTTGGTTTAACCCAAGAACAAATGAAAAAGATCTGTGTTTAATATAACAACTGCTTGGAATAAAGGAAAAACTCAAAACTTTTCATTAACCTAGAGCTTGCTTTATAAACAACTAGGTTATAATTGGAGGGCAGAATATATTTCCCCAAGAGTAACATTTAAGTAAGTGTAGCACTTAATTAGATAATGTTGATTGAGACAGGACATTTCATTCAATTAATAAACACTAATTGATGAACACTGAATATTGCAATAAGCTTTTAGCTGATTAAAGCAGTCCAAAGAGAAAAATATGTTGCCATAGAAACTTAATGGAATTCGTGTTTCTTTTCAGTCCAATCTAAAACGAAAAGAATTATAATTATTGTTAAATGTATTGATTTTTGGAAGGGTTGCACAGTGGAAAAAATCCGGGTTATAGTATGGTGAATGTGCGGCCGGCGGACAGGCGGGTGTAAAGGTCATATACCTGTTGTCACTGTACGATTTTATGAAGGTGTAAGAAAAAGATGTTATGAATTTCTTATAGAACATTCATTAATTTTCTTGACTGATAATAGACAATATAAATTATTAATATGCTGTCTGGATAATTGAGATAAAATTTTAGCTGCTTCACGATTAGACCAACATAATGCGTTTGCGGCCAGCATGGATCCAGATCAGCATGCGCCTCCGCACAGTCTGATCAGGATCCATGCTGTCCACTTACAAACCCTATTACAAGTAGAGAAACTGATAGTAAGTAAGTAAGTAAGTAAGTAAGTAAGTAACGACTTTATTTAACGAGGCTTACACATTCAGTTTCCCGATCTTCCATGTGGGCCTCAGCATAACATTATTACAATCAGTTTACATGTACACAATATATACACAACATATATACACAAATATTATTAAAATAGATCAATTAAATTGAAGTAATGATTGATAAAGCAAAAAATGATATGATTGTACAACAATACAGAGAAAAAGAGCAATATGTAAAACTAACATAGTACCTGTTTAAAACAATATTTAGTAACTATTTAAAACAATATTCATACTTATAAATACACCATGGAAATTCAAATGTTAATTTACGTGATATTATTATCTAATACATATTGGTTCATGAGTTTTTTTTTAAATATAACTAAAATATATCTATATATATACATAAATTGTTCAATTGGAGTAGGAAATCATCATTTGGCATCATTGAATCATAAATTTTCCTATTGGGAAAATATGGGACAAAAGTAAAAGAAACGATAACAATAGTAATATAGTAATAATAAAATACATATAAGTAATTATACAACAGGAATAAATCAACAATTAGTTTAAGGTGAAAACTGCCATTTGATATAAGCTGATTGAAATTTCCGAAGAGTATCGGAATTTCTTATATGTACTGGTATGTCATTCCATATTTTTGGTCCAGAGTATGCAAATGATTTTCTGAAGAATTCTGTTTTAGGTTTTGGTATAATTAGCTTTGCATTTTGTGCTGATCTGAGGTTTAAGTTGTGCCTTTCATTTACTGTCTGGAATTTATTTTTCATATATGTTGGAAAGTCAGGTTCATTTATTGATTTATACATAAGAATTGACTTTTTGTATATGATTCTTTGGTCAAAAGACATCCAGTTTAATTCTTTGAATAATTCACTTGATGATGTATCAAAATTTTTGTCAAGAAGTATTCTTGCTGCCCTTTTTTGAAATTTAATGACATCAGATAGTAATTCGTTATTGCAGTTTCCCCAAATAGTACAACAGTAGTCCAAGTGAGGCAGTATGTATGCATTAAAAAAAAGTTTTCTTGAATGAAGATTAAGATACTGTTTAAGTCTAAGAAGTAAATACAGCTGTGAGTTGCATTTTTTTATAGTTGACTGGACCTGTGTTTTCCATTTAAGAGTGTTGTCTACATACATTCCATGTAGTTTTTCAGTGTTTGAATATTCTATTTCTTGTTCATTAAGATACAAAGTAGGGGGCTTCATATTATCTGTTTTTGTGCTTTTTATTGATAAATGCATAGCTTTAGATTTCTGAGCATTCAGAACCATTGCATTTTGCATGCACCATGTGTTAACATTCTCAAGATCTTTTTGAAGGTTGTGTTTTACTTCTTGTAAAGTATTGCCAGTAGTTGTCAGAGAAGTGTCATCTGCAAACATATCAGTAATTGATTGTTTGATATGAAATGGTAGATCATTGATGAATATAATGAATAGAAGGGGCCCAAGGACTGAGCCTTGGGGTACACCTGAGACAACTTCCGCTGGTTCAGATAATACACCAGAAACATTTACTTTTTGATACCTTTCTGACAGATAAGATTTAATCCAATTTATAGCTTGTGAAGAGAGATGATAAAAAGGTAGTTTTTCAAGTATTAGGTTATGGTTTACTAAGTCAAATGCCTTAGATAGGTCCAGAAAAAGTGTACCAACAAGTTTGCCATTGTTTAGTGTATTGATCCAGTTATCAACTATATTTGTAAGTGCTGTTTCACAGGAGTGGCTTGTTCTGAAACCGGACTGTGCAGTGAAAAGTAAATTATGATTTTCTAGAAAGCATTTCAAATGGTCTGATACATGCTTTTCAAATATTTTAGAAATAAGTGGAAGTAGTGATATTGGTCTATAGTTATTTTTGTCTGATTTTGACCCTTTTTTGTAGACGGGTATTACCTTTGATTGTTTAAGCTGCGTTGGGAATTTTCCATGTTCTATACTTAGATTTATTACAGAACAGAGAGGTTTACAAATGACGTCTGAGGCTGTTTTTAGGAATTTTGCACTTATGCCATCTAAACCAGTTGCTTTTGTAATATCAAGACTGTCCAACTTTTGTTTGACATAACTTATTTCAACAAAGGGTATTTTGAATTTATTAGAATGATTTAGAGTGTCAGATTTCAGAGAATCATTTAAAGCTGTTTTCATAGAATATGATAATTCATTAATGTTTTCAGCTTTTTTAAATATATTTGCAAAAAAGTTGTTAAAAGTTTCTGCTGTTGATTTGGGTCAGTTATTGGTGAACCATTCTCATCATTTATGTAGTTTGTTTGATGATTTTCTGTTTTGCCAGATTGAATTTTTAAGTTTTTCCATAATTTTCTAGGGTTTTTCTTGTTTGAGTTTATCTCTTGTTCAAAGAAATCTGTTTTTGCTTTATGTGTTAATGTTTTTTACTTGTGATTTCCAGTATTTGAAGTCATGAATATTATTTTTCTTTTTTGCATAGTTCCTTTTTTGTATTGCATCAGCTATATCAACATTAAACCAATCAGCTTGGTTTCTATGTTTTACTCGTTTCTGCTTGTATGGAGCATGCTTATCTAAAGTTTGTAAAAATAATTTGTTAAATGTATCTAAAGCATCATCTGGATCACTAAACATGTCAATGAGAGACCATGGCTGCTCTGACAATTCATGTACGAAATTTTCTGCATTAAAGTTCTTTAAGTACCTATATTTTATAGTGGCATGCATTGGACCTTTGTTAACAGTTTTACTTGTTCGTCGTGTGAAAAATATAGGATAATGGTCACTTATAGAGAGTATAGGGACTGCAGTGTAGGATACATTATGTGGCTGGTTACTGTAAATGTGGTCAATAGTGGTTGAAGTCAATGGTGTGACTCTTGTAGGATGTGTTATAAGATGAGAAAGGTTAAATGTGTTAATAATATTATTCCACCTTGTATTATTTGAGCAATTTGTAACAAAATTATAGTTGAAATCTCCAAAAAGAATTAATTCTTTGTTTTCAATAAATATTTTATCAAGGATTTCTTCAATTTTATCATTCCATGATGCCAATGATGAAGGTGGCCTATAGATGTAACCCACCAGAAATGGTTTCTGTTTGTCAAGTTTTATTTCAAGCCATATTGACTCGATATCCTCCGATTCTATGTCAGATCTTAATTCACATGGTATTGTAGACTTAACATATAACACAACTCCACCACCATTTGATATCCTATCGCGTCTAAACAGTTGATAATTTTTTAAACATATCTATGAATCAGAAAAAACATCACTAAGAAAAGTTTCTTGTAGTCCCAGAATGTCTATATCTTGATATTTGTCTACCAGGTGTTTTACTTCATCTATTTTTGGATAAAGATAATGGATATTTAAGTGCATAAAGTTAATACCTTTTTTGTCAAATTGTATTTCATCTAAAATGGGACTTGTATTTACTTTATCATTGTCTTCTGTTAGAGAAAGGTTATGTGATGATGTTCTATCAGTGACATTTTTCACAGTCTGTTTTGGTTCAGTATTGGTTATAGCTGAA